AGACTTTTCATCAACCACCACACCACAACTGCCCTCTCCAGCCCACCTCGACACGACGTTGCCACAGCACACCATCAGCAAGCGCAATGTAAATAAATTTATAGTAAAGAAAAAAGGACCAAGGAACTACAAGTTACGCTATACTGTCCACTAACACCTCCAGTTACTAAACAATCAGCTCATGCGATCACATTGCACGACACTGACCGACGGTACTGGCGTGGTGTTAGTGGACATTATAGCATTACTTGTAGTTTGTAAGAAAGGGTTTGCTCCCCACACCGGAGCTCGCGCTATTCCGCCGATTTTACTTGACACTTGACTGACTCACGACTGCCATCCAGAGCACACGAGAAGTCCATCGAACCTTCGACTCGGCAAACCTGCAAGAAAGCACATAATTATTATCATCGCCGAAGTCGAAACCACTACTTCGTACTTGTAGTTTCTTGGTCCTTTTTTCTTTACTATGAATGTATCCTTGGCTCGCCATCCGAGTCCATTTTTGTGAATAAATTATACACCAGCCACCTACCTGAAACTTCTGCTTGTTGCTGAACGCCTTGTCGCCCCTATTCGGCAAGCTCACTTGAAATTCCGGGATGTTAACAGGTGTTTGCCTCGTCGGTTGCTTTTGCCGCCGTACCAGGAGGGCACTGGATTGAGGGGGCAGTGCGGGTGTCGGATCATCTCGCCTGTTTCCGCCGTCACCGCCAGGGACGTTTCCAGTCGGTATGGTGTCGTCGAGGAAGTCGAATCCGTCGTCCGTGTCGGAGTCGCCGTCACGTGGAGCTTCACTTCGCTGACCCAGCTGCAGGGAGCGAGTGACTCCCCCTCCTTGTCCGGGCCTTCTCGACATCTGCGCACATGACATGAGGAAATCATCATCATCAACATCCTGGCTAAAAGTAGTAGTAGTAGTATTTATTATTTGACTAGGGGAGTCCCAACAGGCATGGCCTTATTAGGGAACCCTAGGTGAATCTTTGTGAGGTGAGCAAAAGTACCGGCAGACTGTGCCCGACGACAGTTTGGAGGGAGAGCCCTCCACCGACCTGCCGGCAGAATTGCAGTGTAGAAAAGTCACCAGAATACCGGCACGTGTCTGGCTGGCTAGAAGCAAACCATAAAAAATGAACACCAATGTGTGTGTGTGTGTGTGTGTGTGTGTGTGTGTGTGTGTGTGTGTGTGTGTGTGTGTGTGTGTGTGTGTGTGTGTGTGTTCATGTAACAATGCACTGAGTGTACCTATGCCATGACATAGTACTCTGTGATTAGGGACGTTTAGCAACGCGAAAGTTAGAACTTTTCCTGGGGACGAAATTTGGCGAAACTATATTTCGAAAAACCTTGCGAGGTTTAGCAACGCGAAATGACTTTTTCTTGAAGTTATTTGAATTCTATAGTACCGTACCGTTTATGCAGCTCAGTCTCAAGCAGGGGGCTGTGAATTTACTACTGCCAGCCTTCAAGTGCGTACCGAGGAGAGAGAAAGTAACTTTCGCAAACCACTGCAACTTCACGTCCAAGTTTTCCAAGTTTCGACCTTTGTTCCTGTACTCATTCCCAGACTCGAATTTTCTGTGTAACTTTCGCATTGCTACAGTACTCAGTAGCTATGAATCAGAGTACAGTAACACAGGTTGCTGAAGAACTGGGGAGGGGGGAGGGGGGGGAGGGGGGGGGGGCTGCTTTAGGCTAGGGATGTTCTTCTTTTGAGATTCCTGCCGCGGTGTTCATATTCTGTGCTGGCACATTAGGGACATTTTGGCAATGCAATATCGCAATATCTCAGTTCATACTGCAGGTATAGCATGCACTGTATCCTAGCGTAAGGGGATTGTCACCTCACTCAGTCTTAAACAACGATCGGCTTTGTACGCCTGTACATCACCAACTCCGCATTCGTAACTGCACTCGCCGTTGCCTCATGTGTGCATTGCCTGGTGCTTGAATGCCCGTAGAAAGGGCATCGCTCTGAAATACCTGTAGTGGAAAGTGTGATTACCTACTCTTAGTGCTGACACCTTCCTTTACTGCCTGCTACGCGCTTCCTGTTGTTTCTGTCCAGTGCCGGTGTTCAACAGCTGTCCTGCTGTGTGTGTGTGTGTGCGTGTGTGTGCATGCGTGTGTTTGCTTGTGTGCGTCTGTGTGTGTGTGTCTGTTTCCTCTTACTGGATACATCCAGAAAACACACATTCCTCTATAACACACAATACACCATGACACACATACTTATTATACATATACTGTTGACTTACACACACAGACTGACAGTATGGCGCTTATACAAAGGTAATCATGTACATTGATTGCCACGTATGCCTTGGTTACACAGCATCACACAGCACCACACAGCATCACACAGCAACACACAACCACCACCACACCATTCACACTCATGCCCTTTTAGGCTTTTACCCACAGCTGGACAGCACTCTCACTGCCCCAAACATGTTCACCATACTGGTCCATAGGCTGTAAATAAGTAGTTTTACTAGTAGTAGTACTAGAAGCACACACTCATATCTACACTGACTACAGCCAGGGACCCCACATCGGGTCTACAGCCTACAGGACAGCGTACCAGTACCTGAAGTACGTAGCAGACAACATAATCAATGTGTGCTTTGGGCAAAGGCTGGGGTGTGTGCAAAGACATCCACCCTCGCTCGAGTGGTTTTCTCCGCGAGAAGACAGCACGCACGATTCCAGCCTTGGTCCAGATTTTCTGAATGAGTTTTTCAGCTCGCCCCAACACGAAGTCGACGCACGATCGCACAGTTTTGCGGTAGCTCAACAGAAGGCAAATAATGACGTTGTGCATAATCGCACGCAAGCCACATCCGAAAAAACAAACAATGCCAATGGAACAGACGAACGTGTTCACTGCTGAAATTATCTCGACGCACACTAATACTACTACTGGATGTGTAGAACACACTGGTCGCATGGGTCTGGACGCATGGTTTTGGACCAATTTTGCTAGCGAGGTTCATCCAGGCAGTGTTGTACACAAAGCAATAATAAAAGTCGGTCTTGGTATTTTACAACAACCCATACATACGATCTTCTCGCTGCTAATGTCTTCACACTTACCGTGTTGCTTGGCGGCTCTCAGTCCGCCTCTCCGTGTCGAACTCCGGTACACACGCTCGCTAACACAGGTCTTAAACTCAGGGTGGACAACGAACAGAGTTCGACGGAGCTACACCATGCATAGCAACGACCGTGTAGTGCCAAATAAAAAAATTCTAAAGCGTCGACCCACGGCTGGGTAGATCTACTGCTTGCCGACTCTACCGGGTCAAGCTGCTAGGCTGCCGGCCTGTCGATCAGTCTCGCCGAGGCTACATGTAGAATCTACACACCACTCAACACTGAGTCAGCAGCCTATGCGAGCACTCCCGAGTCCTGTCCTCTTCGGAGCTCACCGCGAAAAGCACCTCTCCACTTCTCCCCTCACTGATCGTAAGTCATCACTCAGTCTCAGGCATCAGCTCAGACTTCACACTGAATCACAGCCTTTTCGCCGTCACCAGGACTCAGGAGTCTCTGCAGCTGAGTGCAGACTGCAGGTGATGCTGGCACCGTCACTGTCCAGTGTTATGTCTGTGCATTGACATTTGTGCTCACCTCTCATTCAACGGGGTTTTGCTCTGTCGTCATTCATAATCCGACATTCATGAATCATGATCAGTACATCCGCATAGCTTCATCATGACATGATTGACATAGTGGACGGAGGCTTCAAGCAGACTCTACACTACCTATTGTAGTCTACACTACAGTTTACCATGCATGTTCTGCGTACTGTAACGTAGTGTGGAACTACAACAGTACAAGGCTACATACAGACATAAACAGACTGTCAGTCTGGGGTTTGCAGAGTTCAACACATGCACTCGCACTGCACTGGTACTCGAAAAGGACGCTATTTTGTACTGATTCATGAGGCCGGAACTGTATACAACTAAGAAACCACAATCATTCGGATTTCTGCAGCAATGATAATGTTTGCATCAGTAGATCTACATCATGTCATATGGGTAGTCTACACCGCGACTGACGCGTGACGGTCCTGCCACGTACATGACTTGTACACTTTGTACCGAGCTCTAGCTACAAAATAGTCTTGTGTTTGGTTGGTTGGGCCACTGCCACTGCCAGTGCGATTGTAGGTCTATACGCGTCGTCTTCGCATGTAGCGTCTTGGGAGTTGGGGTGAGACACGGGCAAGGCCTGCCCAGGTCTCACCCCAAGACCCAACATGCCTTTGACTTGGAGGGTAGGTGCCATAGAGGCAGGGGTGTGAGCTGTGAAGCCGCCTCTCCGTTCCGCCACCCCAAGGAGAGTATAGGATGTCAGTCACATCAACAATACACAATAATACTCAATAGTCCGTTCTTGCTGTGCTATAGAATGTCCGAAGAAAATGCCGGACAGTAGTGGGAGCTCCGGAGGACAACAGCACCATACTCCATCCATACCGGTATTTATCACTTTAGATCGGTGGTTGGTTAGAGCATTTTCTGACCTAGCGAAGGTCCCTAGCTCATGAGCGGGTGGTTACTACTTTAGTAGATTTTCGTCTCCAGACTTGCCCCCTCTTCGTTCTCTCCAACTGAAGAGCATTACAATACTACTACAACTTACTATAATTATTCAATGTCCTTGTTCGGTCATCATAACACACATTGCGGATCAGTGGATGCTAACTTTGATAAGACATTAGTAAGTAAAGTTTTCACGTCCGCGTTACAACCGGTTATACAATTGCATTGAGAAACACAACCGGCTTGTAGGAAGTGTCGCTCGTGCCAGGCCACCACCATGCCTGTAATCCCAGGGTGGCAGATGCAGCGCCTAACCCCGAGGGTGAGGTGGTAACCAATGCCCAACAAGGAGGCAAACCTCGTTAGCTGCATCCATGTTACCCTCACTCCCAGTACTGAGTACCCAGTGGACCGTGGGTATCGGCGCAGTTCCTTGCATGGATAGTGGTTCACGCATAAATCACCGCATTTGTTAGCACAGTACACGCTCCCTGCTCCCAGCGCCGGTCTCGAACTCGGGACCTTGTGATTCGCAGGCAAGCCTACAACCACTCGGCCAAAGCGCTGGCCGACTTTGAGCTAAATGCGCTAATTCATCCGGCCAGCAGTTGTGGAAAATTAAAACAGGTCCTAAACTAAAGTTTGATAAAGTTGCAAAGCTGCGAATAAAATGTACAGGCCTAATGGGTGAAGATTGTGTATAATCTGCCAGATAGCGGACTAGAAAGTGTGAAATGATGCAATTATGCAGCCAGCTACCCAGCTCATGGGAATGTACTGTACTTGGAAGAAGTTTGAACACACAAACACACACACTCACGTGCACACACGTGCACACACACACACACACACACACACTCTCTCTCTCTCTCCCTCAGTCTCTCCCACGCGCTCTCTCCCTCAGTCTCTCTCACACCATCTCTCTGTGGCTCTCTCGCAAATGCTACAATAAGACATGTGCATGCATTACTGGCCTGTGGCTGTGGCCCTAGTCTAAACGTAATTAGTTTTTAGAATGGTTGCCAATCTGCCTGCTTTAGATCTCTCATCGCTTATGCACATACCCACATCCATACCTGCTCAAACACACACAAGCACACACAAACACACACACACACACTCTCTCTCTCTCTCTCCACCAATATGATAACATAATAACGCACAAGGCTAGCAGTGTTATGAGGAGTAATGATGACCTGTAACATCCACAACTAACTACATGCAGCAATGGACCCTGGCAAAACAAATCCTCTCACATCATGCTCCTCAGCTTTGCGTACATGGACAGACAGAGCTATGGTGTACAACATCAGACACTGTTTTCCCGTGGTCGGGTGAAGACTGAGGTTTTCCACGGTCTAGCCAGAATCGCCAGAGAGTGATGTGCGGCTTGCATTTCAGGTCTCTGTTTCGTCGTCCTGGTCTTCATCTGGCTGATGCTGCGTCTGATGTTCCTCTTCAGTGGACCCTTTCTTGGACTTCTTGGTGTGCTTCTTCTTGCTGAGAAAACCTCGCTGACTGCTGTGTTCTTTCTTCTGGGTGTTGCGGCGATGCTTCTCCATAGCCATGAGGGCAGATTGTGGCAGAGGAGCTGCAACGAAGACAGGTTATTCGAGAAAGAGAGAGACAGATAATGCATATCAGAAAGAGAGAGAGAGAGAGATGAATGTAATTTTCTAGGAAACCATGTCTGTTTGTCTGCCCAGGGCGCAAACATGACGGTTATCTGCAACCCCGGGAATAGGCCACGAAGCACCAATGGAGGGTGCAAACTGATCTGTCTCTCTGTATCGAATCTCCATCCAATACTCCATGCCATGTGTATATCGGTCACCAATACCAGATACACAAGAAAAGGTCCTATCCCTTTGCATATATTACTGAATTTTTTTTCTAATTGTCCGCAAACTCCAACGCAGCCAAATTTTAGGAAACTTCACTTCTCAACTCCAAACTCCAAAAACAGTCTCTTTACTAGGATTCGAATTAAAATTTACATAACAACAAATTTTCAGGCCTGACCCATCATCAGGATAATGAAATTGTGTGTCTAAAAGCTGGAAATATTCCTGTAGAAACTGATGGCAGGGTTCTATTCAGACCTCTCCTCCTTTCCTGTGCCAAAGGGAAATCCTCTGGCACACTCCAATACACTACAAAGTCATCAAAAACGCAACCACGCAGTACCGTGATTTCCCAATGCATTTCGTAGCTGCTCAGTTCATCTTTGTCCCATCACAAAGAACGTTATATTCCTGGAAAGCTGAGCTGAAGACCTTTCCAACGACGTAATGTCAAATTCGGTGTATGTTTGACATAGTTGCTATAGTTTATACACCAGTCTATGCTCTACAATTTATTGCGCAACCCTTTTGGAAGAGTACACTCATCCTCAGTGCTTTGGTGCGTACTGCTAAGGACGAGTATACTCTCATCCTCAGTGGTTTGGTGCGTACTGCTAAGGACGAGTATACTCTCATCCTCAGCACGGAAATGGTTACTACTAGTGACCACTTGCTTAAGTCTGCTAGGTGGGAGGACAAGATATACCGGTATGCTGGATTGCGGCAGAGGAGCAGAAAAGAAAGAGAAAAAGACGGATCGGCAGGACAGAACGAGAGCGCGAGAGCACATGTATACAAGAGAGAGAGAGAGAGAGAGAGAGAGAGAGAGAGAGAGAGAGAGAGAGAGAGAGAGAGAGAGAGAGAGAGAGAGAGAGAGAGAGAGAGAGAGAGAGAGAGAGAGAGAGAGAGAGAGAGAGAGAGAGAGAGAGAGAGAGAGAGAGAGAGAGAGAGAGAGAGAGAGAGAGAGAGAGAGAGATAGAGAGAGATAGAGAGAGAGAGACAGACAGAAAGAAAGAGAGGGCGAGAGACACACACACACGCACACAGATACACAGACAGACAGACAGGGAGGCAGGCAGACAGACTGACAGACACCCACACACACACACACACACACACACACACACAGACTAACAGACAGACAGACAGACAGACAGACATACAGACATACAGAAATGAGGAGAGCAAGGAACACAAACACACATACCCAGTCATGCACACTGTTTAACGTGGCCTTCCACATACCTGTGTCACGTTGCTGATCTCTGCTTGCCGCTGTGTCTACTTCATCACGTTGTCCAGTAAGACTGCTCAGTTCGGTGCCCTGTCCAGCACCCCCCTGTCCTGACTTCAATGCTGCATCACCACCACGAGCACCACCGCCCATACCTACACAGCCATGTTCAAGCACACCGCACAGACATACAGACATACAGACACACAGACATACAGACATACAGACATACAGACACACAGACACACAGACATACAGACACACAGACACACAGACATACAGACATACAGACATACAGTAAAACCTGGTTTAAGCGACAACGCCACGATGCAAGCAAAAGCGGTCGTTAAACTGTCGGTGCATGGAAAAACGGTCGTTAAGATCAGGTGGTCGCTAAACAAAGAAGTCGCTTACACCAGCTAGGTTTACTGTACGTATGAGCATTATACATACATTGGTAAGTATCGTATGCACACATGAAACCACGTGTTCCTTCTTTGCTCGCTTTCGACACTAAATACGCGTGGCAATGCACTGAACAGGAAATGCCGAATGGTAGTCTCCCAAGCGTTTCGGGCGTTGGCGTGTAGGTCTGCCGCTCTGATCAGCAGAGTAGAAAGACCAGTAGCCAGTGGCACTGCATAATCCACGTACAACTTGAGTTGCTCTGTTTCCAGGGCGAGAGATTGAACATGCGTTTGTGCACACATTACCCGGAGACGTACAGCAGATGTGCGTCAGCTCTAAACACGGAACACAGTGCGCGACACTAGACGCATTCAATCGGATTTCATTGAGCAGCATTGTGGGCACTTTTCATAGTGAGGGAACTCCGACTTCAAGTTCAAGGCTTTCTTGTCCAAGGCTTTCTTGTCCAGCAGATAATACGCGGGTTAGCAGCAGCTTACAACCGAATACAGTCAACTTTGCGTATAACGACACTCGGCGAGGCATCAGACAAGTGTCCTTATTCGCGAAGTGTCCTTGTATCCAAAGTCTCATTATATGTACTTAGCCCGGCTCTTCGCAATTGTCGGTTATACCCCACGCACTTTTTGACAGGTAAAACCCAGTCCAATCACGATATCTAACTTACTTTTGCTTGGGAGGTTGTGATGGCAAGATCAAAGGAGGCACCAAAGAAAAATGATCGCGACAAGCGCTTTGAATCGCGATGTGTTCGACTTTTTTGGGGAAGTGGGAATCTGGCCATTCACTGTCTGTGTTACCAAAGGCCAAGCGCAGCGACCCGAAGACCCGAACTGTAGCAGGGGCAACTCAAGTTTACTTACATCCTGGCCTGGAGAGCGTGACAGGCACACGTGCACAGCAGAGGAGCATGAGCGTCGACAGCTGTCTGGAGAGGCATGTACGCCTCATTCGATGGCTTTGTTGAAGCACACCGTGGTGACACACAGGTCACACTGCTCACGGTTCATTCAAGCATCGATGTGACAGCCACAACTATTCCTTTCCCATTGCTGCCATATGAACGCAAGAGATACTCTACCAGTCTACGCCAGCAGCTAGACATCAGCAAATGTCAGCTCATGTAACTGCAGATGCAGAGTTGAATGAACTCTGGACCTGTACTATTACTAGCGTGAGTGCGAGAACACGCTCCTAAGCTGATTTATTTCGTGCATTTTGCTTACCTTGCTTCCTTTCTTTGACTCGCTTCACCTGATTCCATTGCTGAACGTTTTTCTTGTGGCGGAGAGTGTTAATATATCATGCTTCCTCACTATGCCTATTGGAAATTGCACTGAGCGGTAAAAAAAACTCCTGTTCTAAGTGCCGATAGATAAGCGACAATTGCGATGAGCCGGACCAAGTATACAGTTAGGTGGGACTTTGCTCTGGGCATGGAAATTCTCCCGTTATTCGCGAATTGTCGTTATGTCCGCAGTCGTTATTAGCAAAGGTGACTGCATGTGTGCCTCTGTCCATACATAACCAGTTTCTGTCAGTTTCTGAGAATTTCTCGAGCCCGGGCTATTTTTGCTTTGTGATTTTCTCCTGTCCTCCTGTCATGTATTTCCTTTCCTCCTTTGCTTCTTTCCTTCCATATTCGCCTTGATGTTATTGGGCCTAGCTCCCGTTTAAAAAGTTTCCGTTTAATGTGCGAAGTAAAATTTACACAAACAAACAATCACGTCCGTCAGTACTGGCTCATGTTGCCAGTGCGTATCAGGTCGACCGGAGAGCATGTGGCATGTGCAGACTTGCATCCTTCCTTCCGGATAAATAACTTTGCGACTTGTTTTTATTCACATTCAAAGGAGTTGCTTATACTCAAGAGATTTGGTATGGTAGCTCACAACAGCAGGGTAGTGAACATGATCTTCCATCCACAGGGGTGTAGC